AGGATATTCCAGTAAATAAACGATGTTTGCAGTATATTTGGTATTACAGAGCCATTTTGAAAGAATCACAAGGTCTAACGCCGTTTTGTGCAAGCTAGACATTGGAACTTGTTTACGCATCAGCCATTGCCCTGAGCGCTTTTAATTAGGTTAGTTGTTTTTGTGAAAATAAACATTAGGTGGGAGTTACGTATTTCATTTTGTTAGCCTGTTCTGGAGGTAAATCATTTCTGTATGAAACTTGTTCTATTTAACCCCATATCTCCAATGGCAACACATTTGCAACATCCAGAAAAATGTTCTTTCTTAAATGTTCAACAACATTTGTCTCGCTTGCAAAACATGTTGTATCAAGGACTCTAAGAAAGTTATGAAATTAGTTGACGTTTAAATAGAAGAAAAGGACATCGTTTTTTTTTTTACAGAGAAGCTCTGTGAAAAAAACTTCGGTGAGTGAATAGAAGGATAACCTACTTGCTCACTGATGTTATTCTTTTCTCACTCCGCTTACTTCTTGTCTTCTTGAAGCGGCCGATTTTTGCGTTATTTGTATTGGATGATGATTTTTAGAACAAAAATTTGCTATCAGAAAGAAAGTAATGACATAATTCAGTTCATCTCTAAATGCCACAACTATGTCTTAATTTGTCCAGAAATTCACTTTTATACGAGTATTAGGTGAAGCAAATATTATTACCAGGTGGTTTCTCCCTCTATATAGATTTGCCTGAACACCAATAGTAAACTAACATAATCCCAAATGATTCGTAGTGACGGTTTTAAAGCGCGCTAATGAATCCACCATAAAATGAGACAAATCTCTTGTATGATTACATGTATAGGACTCTGAGCACTTCAGGTTACTAGTTACATGTTTTCTGCGCTATCAAATTGCTTATAGCGGAAATGGGAAATTGCTCAAACTTCTATTTCAATTTCTTGTATATTATAATATATCTTCTGCTTTCTCGTTTGACTTTCCTTGCTTTCCTTTTCATAGCTGTCATTTTTGTAAGTTTCTACATATGACCTTGTAACATAACAGAATTCTTGGTTGAATTAAGATCTCATTTGCAGTTTTCTACAGTAAATATCACATAAGCAAAAAACATTCATTGGAAGGCGCTCAGAGCTGATGAATATGAGCTATCTTGAATAGTGATCTGTACATACATTTCAAGGCGGTTTTCATCTTTGATTGTGTTGATTTACTCTGTGTTTCCTGTTCCACCCGTTGTGCTCGAAATTCCTGATGATTCCGATTAGCAATGGGAGGAACGCAAAGTGATTTGCTTGATTTGCAAAAGATGCCTGTTTTGCGTTTAAATGAAAATATTGTAACATCGAATCCCTTGCATTTGTTATCAATCTTTGTTGAAGCTGAGTGATTAAAATTAGAGTTTATCGGAATCTCGGATGTGGCGGGTATAGTAACGCTTTCCAATTCCTGAATGCAATTTAGTTTTGAATCTACATATTTTAACCTTGAAGATGACATCTCAAAGTATTTATTTCAGCCCACATCTTATCATAATGGCTCGTAGTCGTAGCAGAAGTCGAGGTTGGTGTTTTTTTGAAATCATTTTGAACGCATTTCAATTTGCAAATTTAGTGTTAACATCTAGAGCGTCGTCGGCGTTCGCGATCGCGATCTGGGGAGAGGAAGCCGCGTGATAGAAGTCGGGACCGAGATAGAGATCGAGAGGATCGAGGGAAACGACGTTATAGCCGAGAACGAAGAAGTAGCAGGAGCAGGTAATATCTGGCTCGACACCAGCGAAATTGTTGAGGAATGCTTTTATACATTATGAAAACCATTAAAAATTAGAGGTCAAGCTACTGCACGAGTTGGAAAAGTTCGAACTATAACGAAAGTATAAGTACAAAATCATAGTTTTCGTAGCGGTTCTTAAGTTTATATCTCCAGAAGTCCATATGAAAGACGAAGAAGTCGAAGCCGAGAACGTAGAGGTCGGGATCGCGACGACAGGCGAAGCAAAGATAGTCGAAGTCCACATGATCGACGAAGGCGAGATGATAGAAAAGCTCAAGGTATTTTGAGTTCTAGTTAATCAACGTACTTCCTCCCTGCTCACTATTAGTGTAATTCTGCCAACACTTATTATCTTGTTTGGTCGTATCTTGCTGCACTTTTCGGCCCTAGGTCTTTGTCCGGAATCGCACCACCCAACTTTTTCCCCACTATTCTGAAGATCCTTGCAGGATCAAATCAATGTACTGAAGTGGTCTACTTTTGCTATGCGAACTCTTTCTTCTGTTTTAGTGGGAAAATCTTGAGTTGTGGAACCTTCAAAAACATTGTTAAAGTTTTGGCTAATTCGGCTGATTTTTAGCAATTATTTCAGAACCCATTTCTCTTGAACAAATTGTGAACTGCGAACAAGATGTAACAGCTTTGATGGGCTTTGCTGGATTCGATACGACAAAAAACAAAAAGGTAGTGGCTTCTTCCTTTCATTGTAATCATTCTGTTGATCTCGTGTTGCACTACTATATGTAGTAAATCCATGCGATTTCAGTTTGATCTTATTTTTATCCTTAGCAGGTATCTGGAAATTATGAAGGCGCCGTGAAAATCAATAAACCTCGCCGTTATCGCCAGTACATGAACAGAAAGGGCGGATTTAACCGGCCCCTCGATTATATTGCTTGATCTCTTGGCCATTGCTTCTTCCTTAACGTAAAATGGGAAAAATGTATTTTCTTTGTTGAACTGGTTAACGTTTGTTATTTATCCTTAGCAGGTATCTGTTTATTAGTCGTTTTGTGTTAATAAATATCTGTTCGGTCGTTGTGTTCTGCTTTTGTAATGCAGAAGGTTTGGAAACTGAGAAGTACTTTAAACTGTTATTGGTATTCAATGTGTCTGGTTAATAGTGACTGTTTATATTCTAAGATACTCCTAATTTGATTTAGATTGCTATGACAAATTGCCTTGGAAGCGTTATATCCGTGGATTGCGGTGAATTTGGATATTACCAAGGAAGACTTATTTCTTTGGATGCTGAATCAAAGGACATTATATTGGGATCTGCCTTTAAGTTGGTGTTTTTCTTTTCAACTCGTAATTTGGTTATAGTGATCCTTTTTATTTCAGGGAAGGGGTTCCTCTAGGAAAAAATGTGACGCTGAACGGTGCCCAGATAGTCAGCTTGAAGGTTCTGAAGCCCGCAAAGCCAGCAGAGGAACCACAAGTTGCGTCCACTTCTTGTAATCAAGCGGAGAGAAAGGATGTCGTAATGAGAAAAAACGGATTGAAACAGAATGGCCAAAATGTTCGAAGAAGCAAGAGCACTATTGAATGTGAGTGTTTCTGATGGTGTTTTGTGTATCTCCGAAGCATTATCAGCTTTATCAGCTTTATTGCTCGGCTTCCCATAGATCTTCTTTTGATCATTTCATGAAACAAAACCATTCATGCGGTAGTAGTTATGGATTGTTTATAATTAGTATCTGCCAGTCAAGCCCTCATTTTATCGTTTTCTGGTTGTATATAGCTCCTCTTTATCAAGTTATCATAACAAATTTCTTCTAGAGTTCATCACACGTCATTTTTTTCCCAATGCATAGTGCATATCTCTGTATAACGATTAGATACTCATACATGCGATAGGGTGAAAATTTGGCTCACCCTCCCTTCACCTTGGGACAGGAAGCAGGCTGACCCCCCTTCACCTAG